TATGATTCGTAATTTTCTCATCGGGATCTCTAGAGTCAAAGATATGACCATTGCTTCGGATACTCTTGAGGTAACCTATGTTGACTTGCATAAAGTTTATGGTATAAGAAATTATATCAGCTCTCAAATCTATTACTTTTTCTTGCAGGTCATCTATAATTTCTCGAGATGCGAACGAATACCCTTGTTTCGTAACCTATCTTCCTTGTGTGCTGACTTCGACGACTACAGGTGGGAAGTGTTGCCAATCTTTCTTGAGAGCTGCCCGAATCTAAAATCTCTTTCCTTGGTTAGGATTGTTTACTGAACCCGTAAGCCTACTTCTTATTTATCAAAAGAGTGAAAGCATCACATACTCAAAACTGTTTTCGTCCAACTTGTAGGTTTTTACTAAACCTTCATGGAAGGAGGAGGGAGTTAGTATTTTACCTGGACCTAGGCGGTTCCTAACATCTCTCGAGTATGTTAAGATTCTACAGCCGATGGTAGAGGAGACGACACAGATGAATCTAATGAGTTACTTACTAAAGAATTCAACAGTCCTCAAGGAATTCACTTGCTGCTTTAGTGAATACAGAAAGAAAGAAAAGAATGAAGAATCTGTCATCCTCGAGAAACTCCTTTCCATTCCAAGGCTCTCTAGCTCATGCCAATTTACCGTTCTTTGATCCTCATAGTCGTCAATGTCTTTGAGTACTTTGTTGATGTGAACTTTATGTTTGTTTTTATTTGTCATAGTCTTTTGCAATTAACAGACAAAGTTGTCTTTGAGAATTTTGTTAACGTGAAGCCTATGTTTTTGTCTTGCGGAGGCCTAAGGAGGAATAATTTACAAGACTAGGAAAATAATAGGTCCTTAGGAATTTACAAATCTGGGGATTTATTTGTAAGAGCCTGTTTCGACAAAGCCCAATTACCCGATGAAGAACATGCGAAAACGGTGCCGTTTTACTGCTCTCCTCTTCTAGCCTAGAAAATGGCGTAGCATTTTGACCTACTTATTCGCGATTTTGTAGTCGATAGCTTTTGAAATTGGTAAGATTCTCCATCCTCCAAATCAGAGGGAAGGTTTTGAGGATTTCTTATTGAATTCGAAACTTGCGAAGCAGAGTAAATGGATGAAGATGGAGAGGAACGTGCTCGTGCCAAAAGATCCGGTGAAGAAGTTGATTGGATAAGCAATTTGCCAGATTCATTGCTATGTCAGGTACTCTTGAATCTTCCCACAAAAGATGTAGTTAAGTGTAGTGTATTGTCCAGTAGATGGAGAGATCTCTGGAGATATGTACCTGGTTTGGACTTGGGTTATTGTGATTTCCAAGAGTACGACACATTCGTGAGTTTTGTGGACAGCTTTCTGGGTTTTAACAGCGATTCGTACTTACAGAGATTTCAGTTAAAGTACGATTGTTATGGGGATGATGAGCCTGAGATTGGTCTTATCGAACGGTGGATCAACACTGTTGTTAGGAGGAAAGTTGAACATCTCGATTTTTCGGACGATTCAACGGAAATTTGGGATTTGCAGATGCCTCGAACCCTTTACACTTGTGAGAGCTTGGTTTCCTTAAAGCTCAGTTGCGTAACTTTGGCCAGTCCCAAGTTTGTTTCTTTACCTTCTCTCAAAGTTATGGATCTAAGTATGGTTCACTTCGAAAACGATTTGGCATTAGAAACGCTGATTTCATGTTGCCCAGTTCTCGAAAGCTTAGATATTGATAGGAGTTTTTCTGATGATATAGAAGTTTTACGTGTGTGTTCTCAGTCTCTGTTGAGCTTCACTCATGTTGCGGTCGGTTGCGAGAGTTTGGATGAAGATCTTGTAGTTGTGATTGATGCTCCTAGGCTTGAGTATCTGAAGCTCAGTGATTTCCGAATCTCAAATTTCATAATAAAGAATCCAAGTTCCCTTGTAGAGGCATGTATCGATACTTTGTTTAACTTGAGTATTAAAAAGAAGTTCGATCCAAATAATCTAGCAAAGAGAACTATGATACGTAATTTTCTCGTCGGGATTTCTTGTGTCAAAGATTTAATCATCGCGTCATATAGTCTTGAGGTAACCCATATTCAATTCGCTATTTGAATGCTTAACTCTGTTCTAATAGTCTTTCCTCCTGATACTTTTTTTTCTTATTCTTGCAGGTCATCTATGATTACTCAAGATGTGAATCACTACCCTTATTCCGTAACCTATCTTTCTTGCATGTTGTATTCACCGACTACAGATGGGAAATGTTGCCAGTCTTTCTTGCGAGCTGCCCAAATCTAAAATCTCTTGTCGTGGTTAGGACTGATTACTTTAACAACATACTTGCTTTCTTATAATGCAATTGGTGAAAGTATCAGATATTCAAACTTGTTTCTTCCACTTGGTCTTATTGTACTTGCAGGGGTGTAGTGAAAATCCAGAGAAGGAGGGAATTAGTATTAGATCTGGACCTCGGTGTCTCCTATCATCGCTCGAGTATGTTGAGATAGAAAGGCCATTGAAAGGGGAAGCGAAGGAGATGAAATTAGTGAGTTACTTACTTGAGAGCTCAAAAATCCTCAAGAAACTGACCTTATCCTTTGATGATTCCGTAAAGAAAGAAGAATCTGGCATCTTCAGAGAACTTCTTAACATTCCAAGACTCTCTAGCTCATGCCAAATTGTTGTTCTTTGATGATCCTCACAGTCATCACCAATGAACGTACAAGGTTGTTTTTAAGTTCGTCAGCAATCTGAATTCTCGGTTTTTCTTCTTCGTTTGTGATAATTTTGATGTCCTATAAATCGTTGGATCATATGTTTGGCTTAAATTTAGTAATCACTTGTTTTGAATCAAAGATAAGCACTACCAAGACAAAAGAGATGGTTAGATGAAACTACAGTAAGCTCCTGGCCTAATGGTCTTTCTCTTCTTGCTTGGGATCTTTTAAGCTATGACTGAAAGACAAGTGATTTCCGATTTCTCTTACTCATAGTCTCAAAGAGACGAAACTTTCATATCTTTCTTTCTCAAGTTAATAAAAGTAGGTCCGGAGACGAAATAAATTATAAACTTGGGGATTATAATGTAAAAAGCAATACTTGAAGAAACTTGCACGACCAAAATCCAACAATGTGAGCCCAATGATTTGAGGCCCACAAATGTTACATAAATGCAATCTGAGATTCTTTTTCATCTTTTGTAAGCAAATCAGCCAATGGAATCTGGATACTTTTAGAAATTTGAGATATCTTTCCAATTTGGCTTACTCTTCGGTGATTTAGTCGTAATTCATTTTCACAAATGAATAAGTTTTTTTGGATCTAAGCCTCTGAAATCTATCGAAATTACTTGCGAATTTTGTACATGGAGGAAGAAGGAGAGCGATGTATTCGTGCCAAAAGCTCAGGTGATGAAGTAGACAGGCTCAGCAATTTACCAGAATCCTTGATATTTCAGATACTCTTGAATCTTCCGACAAAAGATGTTGTTAAGACTAGTGTGTTATCACATAGATGGAGAAATCTCTGGAGATACGTACCTGCTTTGGACTTGGCTTATAGTGATTTCGAAGAGTACGACATATTCGTTAGTTTTGTCGATAGCTTTCTAGATTTTAACAGCGAATCATGCCTGCATAAATTTAAGTTAAAGGACAACTCTCGGGAGGGTAAGTACAAATGGTTCTGGGCTAAGCCTGATATTGGTCATATCAATCAGTGGATCGACACTGTTATTAGGCGGAAAGTTCAACATTTTCATTTTCTCGAGAATCCGTGGAATGACGAGGTGGTGGAGATACCTCTAACAGTTTACACTTGTAAGAGCTTGGTATCTTTAAAGCTATGTGATGTGGTCTTGCTTAATCCCAAGTCTGTCTCTTTACCTTCTCTCAAATTTATATATATAGATGGTGTTACCTTTGCGAAGAATTGGCCTTTAGAAATGCTCATCTCACGCTGCCCGATTCTCGAAAGTTTAGCTATAAAGAAAAGTCGATATGACAATGTAAAAGTCTTACGTGTGTGCTCTCAGTCTCTATTGAGCTTTGCGTATTTCGGTCATCGTCAGAAGGATGTTGAGCAAGATCAAGTGGTTGTAATTGATGCTCCAAGGCTTGAGAAGCTCAAGCTTAATGATCATAGAACTGGTCGTTCCCTTGTTAACGTGGTTATCGATGTTATGTTTAACTTGTCTCGTTTCAATCCAAATAAAGAGAAATATGATTCGTAGTTTTCTCCTCGGGATCTCTAGTGTCAAAGATATGGTCATCACTTCGTATACTCTCGAGGTAACAACCTATGCTTTAGTTTTTTCGTAAAAGAAGGAAATTACTATATCACAAACCTCTACTCTGGTACTCTCCTTTCTTTCTTGCAGGCCATCTATAATTACTCGAGATGTGAACCATTACCCTTATTCCGTAATCTATCTTCCTTGCGTGCCATCTTCAAATACTACAACTGGGAAACATTACCAATCTTTCTTGAGAGCTGCCCCAACCTAAAATCACTCACCTTGGTTAGTTATTAATTACTGAAACCATAAAACGTTTTTATTTATTTATTAATGCAAATGGTGAAAGTATCTCATACTCAACTTAATTGTATCATAACTTGCAGGAATTTAGTAAATTTCCAGAGGAGCAGTCAATGAGTATTTTACCAGCTGGACCTCATAGTTTCCTACCAAGTCTCGAGTATGTTGTGATAGTAAAATCAATGAGAAAACATGATGCAGCGGAGATGAAACTAGCGAGTTACTTTCTGGAGAATTCAACAATCCTCAAGAAATTCACTTTCTGCTTGGGTAGTTGCAGAAAGAATGAAGTATCTGTCATCGTCGAGAAACTCCTTGCCATTCCAAGGCTCTCTAGCTCATGCCAAGTCATCGTTCTCTGATCCTCGTAGTTGCCATTGTTTTTGAGTACCTTGTTAAATGTGAAACTCTAAATTTGGTAAACAGAAAAACTCACTCGGTCCATATATATTAATAATATAGAGAGTTATTATCAATCAAGCTTCAGAATTATTGCATTTGGTATAAAACAAAGAAAACAAAAAGACCCAAAACTACCAGAACAAACAAAGTACAACAGAACAGTGTCCACCATTTGGTCTTGGGCATCTTGGCAGCTAAGGGCTTACCCTTGAAGTGCTGAAACTTCTGTCCTTTCATGTATGGTCGAAGAACCTCAGGGATTTCCACACCATCCTCTCGCTGGTAGTTCTCGAGAATGCAGCAAATGGTCCTCTCTATCGCGGTAAGAGTCGAATTAAGCGTGTGCACATACTGCTTCTTCTCCTCATTGCTCTGCATAAAAAAAGAAAAGAAGAAGAGATAATTACACAATAACGTACATTGTATTTGCTGATGAAACGAAAAAGAACTGAGAGAGAGAGAGATTTGTACCTTTTTATGACCGTATCTGATCCCAAGCCTTTGAGCCTGATATTCTGTGCAGTTGGAACAGGACACAAGCTCTCTGTAAGTCCCTGACGCAGGAAACCATCCTTCCAAGTCATACTTTTTGGCAGCCGCATCGTTCAAAGCTCCAGAGACAATCGACACGACTCGGTATGGAATTTTAAACTGCAGATGAATCATCATAGAGGGTTGGGCTAATTAGAAAAATTCACAAGGTTTCTTTTAACTTTAAACGTCATAGTTACGTACGTACCGATTTGTAAAAAAAATTCGAGTTGTTCAACATCTCTTCGAGCATTGCCCATGATTCATCAGGACTGGTGATGCAAAACTGTTCAACTTTGTCAAACTCGTGAACACGGAAAATGCCAGCTCTATCTCTTCCATGGGAACCAGCTTCTTTTCTAAAGCAGGTCGAGTAACCAGCATATCTGGACCAAACAACTATCATGTCAATAACTTTCTTTCTTTATATATACATAACCAGATTATATATTACTAATCTATATACCTTATCGGAAGGTCGGTCGGATGGATCCATTCATCTTGGTGAATCGCGCAAAGAGGTTGCTCAGAAGTTGCAATAAGGTATTTGTCCTCTCCGTCACCAGTCACCTGAACCAAACAAGCAAAGTTCAAGACAAGTCTTAAACAACATTCAGTAATAACATACATACATGTTCATAAGCTCGAATGCATAAATTTTATATTGTAAGATATTAAGAGGACTATA